GGCGGTCTTGCCCTCTCCTCACTCAGCGCCACATTCCATCTGTCGGCGTTGGCAGCGGCCGCGTGGAAAAACCAGCAGCCAGCCAAGCTAACGCTGGGGCGCGCGCGCTCGTGACCGATAGACGGCAACGTGTCATGTTTGTGATTCGGAAGCATGACTGAGATGAAACCAAGAGGGGCCATTTGAAGTCCAACCAAGAGATTAACGTTGCCATAAATTGGAATAATCAGATGGCCATTTTGAATGTTCTTCTGTGTCATTTCTTCCAAAATGGAGGAAGGCTGCTGCTACTCCGCTTCCCTCGCCGAACTACGGCGAGCTCCTTTCAGGCACGAAGAGCCAAATGATTTGGACTTTGGAGAGTTGACGTTCAACCGTCGCTCTTGAAAGGCCTCCGCATGGCGCGCGAGGCGTGCGCGATCGTTTTGGCTCCATTTAAAACTTGATTTATTGACTCAGGAGTTCCCGCGCCCCAAAAGGGCCGCCGGGACACTTCATTCAGGAAGCGTAAAGGTCGTGATATCATTTCCTGCACTGGCAGTCCAGGAAGCGGCGACACGGCTTTCCAGTTTCCGCTTGGGTTGATTTCAGCTTCTAAAAGTTTCACCTGAGCGACGTTCGGATCGTTGCCTCCCAACGATTTGTTTTGGCTCACCCCCCCCTCCCCCCAATCCTCTGCCATGTCATCTTTGACAAGAGTTGCGTTTGCTTGCGTTTACATGAGAGGATTGAGAAACGCTGGTGTGATGCACATAAAATAATGTTTTGTCGTCTCTTTGCGTGTCTTTTACTTCCTGCTCGTACCCACTGAACAGATTTTAGCGTTTTGCGAGAAAGCCGCGATCATAACGGTCTTGACGGCGGGTTGCGAATTGCGAACCGTTGCGACAATATCCCGCTGGCCAGGCTTTCCGTGCGTAGAATACACAGGTGGGTAACTTGTGGATGTTCCAAGTAGCGCGGCAGCGGCGGTCCAGAGGTCGAGCTGGAAGCGGCCGGGAGCCCACGGTTATTGATTTCTTTCCGAGAAGAGTGTTTTTTTTTTTTCCGCAGCGGGAGCATCTGGGGAGAAGATTCTTTGGCTTTTTAACTTGACTTTGTCTTCCGCAATGTGTGGCCTCCGCGACCTCCACGCAGAGTTATTTTTTTTCTTTCTTTCTCCACGCAGCGCACCGAATTGCACGCCTGAACAGGAGCGTGAGGACCTCAAGACCGCAGAACACCTCTTCAGAATCATTCCCAATCAATAAGGTTCTCGCACCGCGGAATCATCCGGAAGGAAACACGAGGTGATGAAATCGATTGGATTCTTTCAACCCTACAAGTTTAAAAAGGAGATTATTGAACGATCGGGACCTGCCGTGAAGGTTTTTTTTTGCCGTTCCCATTTGCGCGTCGTATCCCATATCCCCTTAAACCCAAAAAGGATTTTGCTTGGATAAGATAATCCCTCATGTTTGAAGGAGCTTTTGAGCGAAGCCTCGAGTCATATCTGCTGTCGTCCAGCCTTTGATCTCATTAACCTGCACATCATCAATCCGATAAGGATCTTGTACGACGCGGCACGATAATCTCGTGAAGTTTGAAGGAGCTTCTTTGAACGCCGACCTCCCGTCCCATCTCGACTTCGAATCGTCTCCCTTACCTGTGAGCTTCTTTGATCTCGCCAACCGACCGATGTCCCTTGAAAAGTCATTTGCGGCTTTCATTGACAGGAAACAAAACATTTGCAGGTTCTCTTGGACGCGAGAGCACCACCCAGAATCACAGGCACGCTTGCGGACTAGCCGAGCGTAACAAAATCCGGGGGCGCACGCGCGCCACCGAGTTACCGCTCCAAAGTTGTCGTGCGCCGAATGCGTGAGGCCGTAACGGCCGCGGCATATGTAAATGAGGCTTGCATTGTTAGCGCAACGGCCCCACCGCCGTGCCACGTTTGTCGCTAGCGACCCTGGAAACAATGTTCGCGTCTGCCTTTTCGTCTTCGTTGAACCACAAAAAGAAAAACAACTTTTTTTTTCTTCCTTGCAAAACATCTTTTTGTTCTGTTGTCTTTATTCCCCCCCCCCACAACTTCCAGAACACATCCGAGTGGAGCCTTGCCCCAAGCAATTAAGTTTTAATATTGATGACAATATGCAAAACAGGCTAGCGGGGGTCGAGGGGCTCTAACGGGCACAGACAAGGAGGGACTGAGCTGCGCCCCCCCCTTTTTTTTTTGTTTTGCATAAAAATTCGCATTGGTAACTCACCACAATAATCCCACCATTTACACACTCGGGATTACATCTGTTTCACAAGTCTTCACCCCCCCTCATATATATATATATATATATATATATATATGATCTTAACTTAAATAGAAAGCTAGAAATAAAACAAGATGGGAAAAAAAATGAGTTACAATCATCATGACATCATCATCCAAGCGATGATGTTTCTATTACACACGTTCTGAGTTCTTGATGCAAGACAGAGGAAATAATACCAAACCCCCCCCCCCCCAAAAAAAGTGCGCTGTTTGTCAGCACAAGCATGTCTACTGTGTTTGAGGGGTGCAAGGGTACTTGACGTCACATGCTAAGATATGGGCTAAATCTAGCTATAAGGCTGGATTGATTTGGCTTTCGGGCAACTCATCAGTTTTTACGTCGCTATAAGGCACTAAAAATAATGTTTAAAAAAAAAGAATAGGTCATTTGTCGGCCTAAAGTGGCGCAGAACTGCGACGCCTTCGTACCGTTACACCCCTTGTGCATCACCGTGTCCTCTTTCCGGCCTGACATCATTCGAAGGACAAACGCATTGCAAAAAAACAAAAACAAAAGAAAAACAAAGCTAAAATGTAGCGGCACCAATGTAAGTTTGGGGTTGTCATGCACAATGTATTAATTCTTCTTCCGACCTTGTTGAAAATACGTGTCGCTAGTCATGCTAAATTGTAGCCACCCTAAATTGTGACGTAAGACGGTGGCCGCGACCGCAGCATTTCACAAATGTCGGTCAAAGACCGACAGGTCCTTCGACGGATGCAATCCCTGAATTGTGTTTGTGTATTTTCAACCCCACCCATAAAAAAAAAAAAAAAAAAAAAAAAAAAAAACCAACATGCTAAATCCTGCTGGAAATCTTCTGGGCGTTTCCCCACATTTCTTTTGCTAACATCAACTGTTTGTTTTTTCTTTCTTTTAAATACTTGCAAATATACTGAACGCAGATTACAGAGAGCTCATTCACAGATGCTACATGACCGATTGCAGCGTACATTAGCGTCACATATACATCGAGAAGTTTTTTTTTCTTTTTTTGGGGCTATGTGGTCTTCATAATACACAGGCGAATAAATGTCATTATTCCTCAAACATAATAAAGTGATCAAATAGTGTCAATGTTGAACACACACCAGTTCACGGCAAAGGAGTAAAAATGTGAGCTACACTTCACATTTGCATTACATTTCCATTATTTCCCTTTTTTTTTTCTTTTTAGCTCCACAAAAACTTCCTTTCACCGCAGCAACGTTTTTTTTCTGTCCATCAGTTTTGTTTGTTTAAAGCAAACCACCTCGCAACAATGCAATCGACTCCAACGTGTGCAAGAAAGCCCAATGCGGGATCGCGTCCGTACATGGCGAAAATCCGCAAAACAAGTTTTTAGTGCCACACTGAAAAAAAAGAGGAAAAAAAAAATTGAAAAGGATTATAAGAGAAAAGTCGATGCTGATCTCGAACACAGCTGTGTCAATTTTCACCTTAACTTGTTGTGAACTGCAGCCCTATGACGACAATTTTCCTCATAAGTTCCTTCTCCTATGACAATTTTAATCCCGTAAAATGATTACTTTTGTAATTGACAACTGCGCAACTTTTTTTTTTTTTTTTTAATTCACCTAAGATGAAGACTTCAGCGGACCTTTCTCGTAACATTACAGTTGCTATCGTGACTCAACTTTTCGTTCTTTGAGTCTCCGATTTCCTGTCATATTAAAACTTGACAGTGTGGCACGAATGTTCCTTGTGAGAATAAGATATTAAAATCAAATGTCATAAATACAGATTAAAAATGAATGTGGCTCGGGGGACCAAAATAGGACGTTGAACAGCACTACGTGCTTTTTTTTTTGTTTAAATAATGAACCTCTAATGCTGATGACCCCCTTGGTTCCTCTTTTCGATATCGGCGAGCGGGATGCAGGGTTGCCGCGTGTGTGTATGGAAGTGTGTGTTGTGTGTGTTATGTGTGTGTGTCTCACGAGGGCTCAAGCCGCCATCTGCCACCCTACTCGAGCCAGCCTGATCCTTATCCCGAGCCCAGCCGGCCCGCTGTCTCGTCCCTACAAAAAAAGGCTTCCTGCTAAGGGAAGGAGACAAAGGGTGGGGTGGGGGGTTATGGGGGGCGTGACCTGGTGGGGGAGGGGGTGAAGGGGGGGGTCCCTGCGGAGAGGAGGGCAGACGGTGCAAACAGCCCGCCGTGTCTGCTCCCTGCCTCCATTTTCTGTCCGTTATCAGCCACGAGGGCGAGAGGATGCAAAGGGAGGAGGAGGGGACATATGACAATGAAGACAGCGCCCCCCCCATACATGTCTCTATTCCCATGGATAAGCTACTGCCGTACGACACTGCCCCTAGTGGCCCAAGCACCATCGTCTGCGCCCAGAGTCCGGGAAGACATGGCGAGTCTAGGCCGTGGCTGCGGCGGTGGTGGTGGTGAGTTTATGGATGGTGCGGTCGTAGTACTGCGTGGTGGGAGCTTCCAGGGGACTCCAGCAGTGCGCGTGGAGCTCCACCACCTCCATGAGGAGCGAGCGAGTCAGCGGCGACTCGGCCGGGCTCAGCATCTTGTCGCGCACGGCCACGAGCAGCTCCGTCATCATCTCGGGCAGCTGCTCCTCCAAGAGGTGCCCGGCGCTCTGCAGCTGCACGGGAGAAAGAGAAAAAAAAAATGCGGGTAAAGAAAATACTCTCTGTATGTTACATTATAAGCTACACAGGGACAGTGTGAAACAAAAATCCTCCCCTTTAAGGGGTCCCTGGACCCAAAGAGAAGCCTGGTTCAGTGTACTATGTAATTGAGTGTGTATTTGTCTGTTACCTCCAGGGAGCAGCACAGCACGGCGTCGTCCTTCACGTCTTTGGACTGCAGCAGCTACAGTGGGACAAGAACGGAAGCGGTGCCAATTTAGACCGAGGCAGATGCAAGCACGGCGACGTCCGGCGTAGTGACGAAGACGAGGAGGGAAGGAGGCGAGACGTAATTTTACAGCACCGTGTGTACCAAAGAAAAAAAAAAAACGAGATCAATTTCAAAGGCGTTTTACGTTTCTAGGAGTCCATGTCTATAAATCAAAATAGAGTGGAAAATGTTATTTCGGTTGATCAATGGAAAAAGCAAAACCTCGATCAGACAAATTCATGAAAGACAAACCAAACCGATTTCTGTCTTAAAAAAAACATTTATTTGTTCTTCACTGTGAGCATAATCATCATCGTTAGGTTGCCCTAAATTTCTTTCCTAAAAGCACTGACTTGTCCATTTCACGTCTGTTGGACTGGTTTTGGAAACTGTCCATATATGAACCGTTTTCAGCTATTTTCCGCCGAAAGACGTAGAAATATTCAGACTAAGAGAAACACAATACCGCGAACGTACTTCTATCACGAACTGTGACAGCGAACGTCCCTACAACGGGACACTCACGCTTCAATTTATGCGGACATGTCAACTTATGCCCATTCCAAACTTTGCAAATATTCAAATGCAAGACAAACGGCATAAGCTGAGACGTCCACATCAATTTGGATGAAATTTGACGGGAGTATTTTCTGCATGTCATGTCTGGGAAAACTTTTAAACTGGAAAAAAAAAACCAACACCTTGAAAAGAAAGAAAGAAAAAAAAGGCAATTATGTGGTAAGCGCAACGACATCTTGACTGTCATCTCCCGCCTTTCGACGTCACCTTCTCCGCACGCGCGGATGGACACTGTGACAGCGTGACGATCCCACGCGGGCGGGATCATCGCCTAATGAGTTCTCTGGGGGAATCTTGCGCAGACGTTCAACTCAGATCGTCATTGATCACAAATTCGTCTGTGAAACATTCCGAATGCCGTTCTTTCGTTTTATGGTTGGGAAAACAAACCAAGTTTCATAGCATCTTCTGACAAGCTGGGAGCCGTGCGCCTCCTCGTTTGTTATATAACCAAGCAAGGAAAACCTTGGGAATCTCTTGTGATTCCCGTTTAGTTTGTTATTTTTGTCTCCCAACCCCACCGCACCCCCTCGACAAATCCACCCCCTTGCATTTGATCAGAAAAATGAAAAGAGGACAGACGCACGTTTGACGAACAAATAACACGTCACGGATGGCTTTTGTCAAAGCATGCGGCGATTTCAAGCTGAGACGCAAAACGTTTCAGCGTTTGACTAACAACACGCACGCACGCGCACGGAACGCCGCGAGTTGGAAGACTTCAAATGGGCTTGCAATGGTTGCATAGCAACACTATTTCTGGCAATGGTAGCAGCGGTCCCGCCTCTTTCATCAAGTATTAGTCTACTCTACTCAAGCGTACCAAACTAAAAGCACACAATGGACACTTCATTAGGGACACAGCCACACCACCGAAAGCCATTCCTTCGTACCTTAAATGGGCCAAGGCTCAGCCCTGTTCTGCCTGTCACTAGACTCTGCGAGCAGAGATGGAAGAAGAAAGATATATATATTTATATATATATTTTATATATTTGTAATCAATACATTTATGACCAATTTGGTTAAATTGGATCATTTCTCACGTTTAGTGCGTGAGAAGGGCAAGAGGCCAATTTGTGTCGACTGCAACATAACACACTGAACGAGTACATAAAAAAAAAAAAAAAAACGCAGAGCGGGGAATAGATTCAGTCACTTGCTTTTTTTCTCATGAATTCACTGGATTTGTTATCAAAGATTTTAGAGGACAGGTGTTAAACTCAAGGCCCAGCTTCGGCCCGCCACGTCATTTTTTTTGTGGCCCACAAAAACAAATCATATGTGTCAATTTCCTTGATTCTTGCTAAAATCTGTACCCCAATGTCAAATTGTCTGGTGACAATGATGCGTCGATGGCGTGTCTGCCCGATACCGGGAGGCCACTCAAAATGGCACCTGGAAACTGACTGATGTATTTATTGACACTGGAAAAGTTTCAGGAACAAGAAAAGTCACAGAAAAGGCCTCGCTGGTGTACAGATACTTCACTGGGCTCCATGCACAACACCGGCATCAATAAAAGATGAGTTTTTCTGGAGAAACAAGTTTCCCGCAACAGGATATGCATCTAAAAAAGTAAAACAAATCCATTGTATGTTTTGTTCCGCCCCCCCCATCTCGCCTGCAAAACAACAAGCTATTCATCAATTAATCAAGCTTGTATTTAAACCGACCGCAAGAGGAAGTCGTTTCTGTGCCGTGTTTTTGCTGCGACAACACGCTGATACTTCATGAATAATTCAGAGACAAATATCCCTTTTCTCAGTCCTGTTCTCCTGTTTACCCTCCGAGGAAAAATGGCCACAGTTTAGCTGGGAAAAGTATTGCTCGGCTTTTCTTCAAACGTCAACCCAAAACTGACGATTCATCTTCTGAAGTCCGCATTTACACAAGACGCGAGTCAAATGACGCGCATGGTTTGCGGGGATTGCCATTGTATGTTAACCGGCATTTTTTCGGCTAAAACCCGCCTTACTATACATGGTTGTTTTTTGCGGCAAAAAATTTCATCCAAAAACGCCTTGCTATACATGGTTGTTTTTTTTTCGTCCAAAAACGCCTTACACATGGTCTTTTTTTTTCGGCTAAAAACACCTTACGATACATGGTCGTTTTTTCCGGCTAAAAACGGCTTACTACATGGTCGTTTTTTTTTCGGCTAAAAATTTCGTTCAAAAACGCCTTACTATACATGGTCGTTTTTTTCGGCTAAAAATGTCTTACGATACATGGTCGTTTTTTTCGGCTAAAAATGTCTTACGATACATGGTCGTTTTTTTCGGCTAAAAATGTCTTACGATACATGGTCGTTTTTTTCGGCTAAAAATGTCTTACGATACATGGTCGTTTTTTTCGGCTAAAAACGCCTTACTATACATTGTCGTTTTTTTCGGCGAAAAATTTCATCCAAAAACACCTTACTATACATGGTCATTTTTTTCAGCGAAAAACGCCTTACTATACATGGTCGTTTTTTTCGGCTAAAAACGCCTTGCTATACATGGTCATTTTTTTCGGCTAAAAACGCCTTACTATACATGGTCGTTTTTTTCGGCTAAAAACGCCTTGCTATACATGGTCATTTTTTTCGGCTAAAAACGCCTTACTATACATGGTCGTTTTTTTCGGCTAAAAACGCCTTGCTATACATGGTCATTTTTTTCGGCTAAAAACGCCTTACTATACATGGTCGTTTTTTT